CAGTAGCATTTTTATACACCAATAATGATCTAGCTGAGAAAGCAAGTAAGAAGGCAGTTCCATTTACAATAGCAACAAAGCAGCAGCAACAACCAAAAAACACCTAGGAATAAATTTAAATAAGGGGGTGAAAGATCTCTACAAGGAAAACTGGAAAACACTGATGAAAGAAATTGAATATGACACAAATGGAAAAACATCTCATAGATCATGGATCAGAAGGATTAATATCATTAAAATGACCATGATGCCCAAAGCAACCTATAGATTGAATGCAATTCTTACCAGAATTAGAAAAGCTATCCTAAAATTCATATGGAACCAAAAAAGAGCCTGAATTGCCAAAGAAAGCCTGAGCAAAAAGAGCAAAGCTTGGCTGGGTGGCTCACATCTGTTAACCCCAGCACTTTGCAAGCCCAAAGCAGGAAGAAGACTTGAGCCCATGGCAATGAAGAGAGACTCCATCTCTACAAAAAATTTTAAAAACTAGCCAGGCATGGTGGCATGTGCCAGTAATCCCAGCTTCTTGGGAGGCTGAGGCGGGAGGATCGCTTGAACCTGGGAGTCCAAGGCTGCAGTGAGTTGTGATCACTCCACTGCACTCCAGCCTGGGTGACGGTGCAAGATCCCATCTCCAAAAAACAAACAAAAAGAAAAAAAAAAAAAACAAAGCTGGAGGCATCATTACCTGATTTTAACATATATTACAAGGCTGGCTGGGTGTGATGGCTCACACCTGCAATCCTAGCACTTTGGGAGGCTGAGATGGGCAGGTTGCTTGAGCCCAGGAGTTCAAGACCAGCAGGGCAACATGGTGAGACCCTGTCTACAAAAAATACAAAAAAAATTAGCTGGGTGTGGTGGTGCACACCTGTAGTCCCAGCTACTCGGGAGGCTGAGGCAGAAGGATCTTCTAATAGATTTTTCTGTATTTAATACATCCTTTAAAATACCTGGTAAGTCAGGTGTGGTTAGTCCCAGCTATTGCAGAGGCTGAAGTGGGAGGATCCCTTGAGCCCAGGAGACGAAGGTTGCAGTGAGCTGAGATGGCACCACTGCATTCCAGGCTGGGTGACAGAATAAGACTGTGTCTAAAAATATTTTTTTAAATTATCAGATGAAAACATGTCATGGCAAAAATAAAATTTAAAAATTAAAATTAAAAGAAACCTTTGAAAAAAAATTTAAAAATAAAAAATTGGCCCGGTGTGGTGGCTCACGCCTGTAACCCCAACACTTTGGGAGGCCAAGGCGGGTGGATCACCTGAGGTCAGGAGTTCGAGACCAGTCAGGCCAACATGGGGACACTCCGTCTCTACTAAAAATACAAAAATCAGCCGGGTATGGTGGCAGGCGCCTATAATCCCAGCTACTCAGGAGGGTGAGGCAGGAGAATCGCTTGAACCTGGGAGGCGGAGGTTGCAGTGAGACGAGGTCACACCATCGCACTCTAACCTGGGAGACAAGAGCAAAACTCCGTCTCAAAATAATAATAATAATAATAAAATAAAAACAAAAAATACAAAATAAAAGAAAGGTTTGTATTTCTCAAAACTCAAAAACTCATAAGACAATATGTAAGAGCCGTTCATTTTGCTGCATATTAATTATACCTCAATGAAAAATACTAAAAGGCAAAAAAAACTATATTAAAGGCAAAAGTAAAAATAATTCATAATTCTACCACCTTAATATTTGAGCCATTTTACCAGATTGCATGTAACTTGTTTCTGCTGTTTAGTGATGTTTTGTAAGAATAAAGTACTGTAAGTATGTAGCAATAAGCAACAATGGCATCTAGATATCACTATCATTTTCAGAGAGTTTGCAATGTATAAAAATGTGCTGAATTCTTAAGGTTTTAAATTCCGATTTTAGGTCTAACAGATTTTTTTTCTAAGAGTCTCACTTTGTTACCTAGGCCAGAGTCCAGTGGTGCAATCATAATGCACTGCAACTTCCCAGTCAGTCTCCCTAGTAGCTGGGACTACAGGTGCATGCATGCCATCACGCCTGACTGTGCAGATATTTTATAGGATGTATTAAATACATAAAAATCTATTAGAAGATTTTGCTGGACTTGGTTGATATAAAACTATTACTCTGGTGCAGAAATGAACAATGTTATGCCATGAACTGATTAAAATTAAAACTTTAAAATATCCGGATGCAGTGGCTCATACCTGTAATCCCACCACTTTGGGAGGCTGAGGCAGGCAGTTCACCTGAGGTCAGGAGTTCAAGACCAGCCTGGCCAACATAGTGAAACCCCAACTTTACTAGAAATTCAAAAATTAGCCAGGCGTGGTGGCATGTGCCTGTAATCCCAGCTACCTGGGAGGCTGAGGCACGAAAATTGCTTGGACCCAGGAGGCAGAGATCATGCCACTGTACTCCAACCTGGGCAACACAGCGTGACTCCATCTCAAAAAAACTTTAAAATATATAGATACCTTCTAGAAGAATTTATTCTACTTTAAAATGCAATGGCCATCACCAGACCATAGCCTATTCCCATATAAAATTGTAGTTATTATCACAGAATTGTAGTGCAAGACAATTTGAACATCCTCCTTGTTGTTGTAAATGGATTTCTACTCCTAAAACATATTTTATCTCACAACTAAAATAGATTATATTCTCCCAGACAAACTCTGAGATGTTTTGCCACCCCTATTATATATGAAAAGGGATGACCGCAATTACTTTTTCATGGTAAATGATCCAACCCAATGCAATGGAACAGAGTTGATAACTGTATCAAGGACACTAAAGGTCGAGGCTGGGCACAGTGGCTCATGCCTGTAATCCCAGCACTTCGGGAGACTGAGGTGGATGATTGCTTGAGCCCAGGAGTTTGAGACCAGCATGGGAAACAAAATGAGACCCCTGTCTCTACAAAAAAAAAAATTTAAAAGTTTGCCAGGCACAGTTGTAGTCTCAGCTACTTGGGAGGCTGAGGTGAGAGGATCACTTGAGCCAGGAGATTGAGACTGCAGTGAGCCCTGATTGGGCCCCTGCACCCCAGTCCTGTGACAGAGGTAGACCTTGTCTCAAAAAAAAAAAAAGTGGGGGGACCGGGCGCGGTGGCTCACGCCTGTAATCCCAGCACTTTGGGAGGCCGAGACGGGCGGATTACGAGGTCAGGAGATCGAGATCAACCTGGCTAACGGTGAAACCGCGTCTCTACTAAAAATGCAAAAAATTAGCCCGGCGTGGTGGCGGGCGCCTGTAGTCCCAGTTACTCCGGAGGCTGAGGCAGGAGAATGGCGTGAACCCGGGAGGCGGAGCTTGGAGTGAGCGGAGATCGCACCACCGCGGTGCACTCCAGCCTGGGCGACTGAGCAAGACTTGTCTCAAAAAAAAAAAAAAAGGAATACTAATGGTGGAGAAGCAGGCACAATTTAAGGGTTTGGGGTTTTTTGGTAACAGTTTCATTAAGTTGTTTTTTTGTTTTTTTGTTTTTTTTTTTTTGAGACTAGGTCTGGCTCTATCGCCCAGGTTGGAGTGCAGTGGTGTGATATCTGCTCACTGCAACTTCTGCCTCCCAGGTTCAAGTAATTCTCCTGCCTGCTAATAGTATTAATCCCGAGTAGCTGGGATTACAGGTGCGCACCACCACACCTGGTTAATTTTTGTATTTTTAGTAGAGATGGGGTTTCACCATGTTGTCCAGGCTGGTGTCCAACTCCCGACTTCAAGTGATCCACCCACCTTGGCCTCCCAAAGTGCTGGGATTATAGGCGTGAGCCACCGCACCTGGCCAACTTCAGTAATATTTAATTTAAGTACTGTACAATTCATCGATTTAAAATATACAGTTAACTGGCTTTCAGTAGATTCAGAGTTGTGCAACTATCACCACAATCAATTTTAGATCATTTCCATCACTTCTAAAAAAAAAACCCATGTGAATTCATGAACAACAAAAAAAATATGGCACACACACAATGGAATATTATTCAGCCTTAAAAAGGAAGAAACTAACATGCTACAACATGGATGAAACTGGAAGAAGTTCGGCAAAGTGAAGTAAGCCCGTCACAAATGGACAAATACTGTATGATTCTATTTACATGAGGTACCTGGAGTAGCCGAATTCAAGGAGGCAAAAAATGATGGTTGCCAGGGGATGAGGAAGAGAAGAATGGGGAGTTATTTAATGTATATGGAGTTTCAGTTTGGGACAATGAAAACGGTTCTACAGATAGTGGTGATGAGTGCACAGTGTGAACATAGGTAGTGTAACTGTACACTTTAGGATGGTTAAAATTGTATATTTTATGTATATTTTACCACAATTTAAAAAGAACAAGAAATCCCATAAGCATTAGCAATCTTTCTGCATTCTCAACCAATCTCTGGGAAACCACAAATTTGCTTTCTCTCTTTATAGATTCGCCTATTCTGGACATCTCATATAAACGAAATTACACAACATATGGCCTTTTGTATCTGACTTCTTCCACTTTACATAGTGTTTGCCAGGTTCATCCATGTTGCAGCATGTGTTAGTGTCTCATCCCGTTTTATGGCCAAAACCATTCCATTGTATGGCTACACCACAGTTATCCATTGATCGGCGATGGGCATTCATATTTCCACTTTGGGGCTACTGTGAATAATACTATGAACATTCGTGTAGAAGTTTCTGTGTGAACATATGTTTTCAATTATCTTGGGTGTATTTATAAATACCTAGGACTTGAACTGCTGGATCATAGGGTAACTTTATGTTGAGTCGTTTGAGGGAATACTGGAATGTCTTCCAAAGTGACTAGACATTTTGCATTCCCTGAAGCTGGGTTTTGAATTTTTTAAACATCAACACCTTTGGCCTGAGATAACAAAAACCAAACGTAGCCCTATCTTTTCTTTGCTTCGCTGGGAGGGAGTAAGAGTGAAGAAGTTAAAACGTAGGGAAAGAAGCCCGGCTAGTTCCCCTGCTGACTGGAGGGCGCGGGAGGTCCCGGCAAGCCCCGCGCAAGCCGCCCACAGCGGGTATATGCGCGCATGCGCGCTAGGGCTCCGCTCCGCCCACGCTGCAGGCGGCGAGCAACCGCTGCCGCGCTCGGTGGGAGTCAAGGTGGGTGAAAAGCACTACAGCGCTGGGGTCCCCCTAACTCGAGGTCGCCGCTGTCACTGGGAGGGGACCTCATGAGTCTGGACTCGCTTTCATCCGCTTTGGTGTGAAGCGTTTTCCTGCCATCTTCCCCTCACCAGTTCATCCTAGTGCTGACAGGGCACGGAGAGAAGACAGAATCCGCGTGCAGCAACACTCGGTGTTCGTTAGACTAAGGGAAGACAGGGAATTAGAATTTTATCCCTGTTCCCTCACTTAACGCTTTTCCACAGGCTTCTATGTCTTTTCCCGACTTAATCTGCTTCCGTGAAAACGCGTCCACTCCCCAGGGCCTCCGCTTTACGCACTGACACCCAGACTTAGCTGTAACTCTTTTGATGCTACGGAAAGCCAGGCCCTGATTTGTGGCCCGTTCCTCCTTACATCTATCAGGGAATCCCAAGGGTCCTCAAAGTCAGAATATCTCAAGGGAACTTTTCCTCATGTCCTTACGCTTCTCCTTGGGCTCCGTATTTCTATTAGAGCAGCAGCATCCACCCATACACATATTAAAACCCCACAGCTTTCGATTACTCTTCTCCGTATTGTAGACTGATCACCAGGTCCAGTGTGCAATCTTTAAAATTCTGGAATCGATCTCCCCCATTCTATTTCGTTCCTAATGCCCTGGATCAGGTCATCCACCTTGTAGGAATATATCCCAATAGGTAGAAACTGATTATCAGCTCTCCCGCTATTCCAACCTACTTTCTACATTGGCAGCAGGCACACGTTTCCAAAGTAAAAATCTGACTATGGGCTAGGTCTAGTGGCTCATACCTGTAATCCCAGCACTTTAGGAGGACGAGACAGCTACCCACGAGTTGGAGACCAGCCTGGGCAACATAGTAAGACCCCATCTCTATAACAAAATTAAAAATTATCTGGATGTGGTGGCGCATGCCTGTAGTCCCAGGCAGAGAAGGGAGGATAGCTTGAGCCCGGTAGATAAAGGCTGCGGCAAGCTGAGATCACACCACTGCGCTCCAACCTGGGCAACATAGTGAGACCCTGTCACACACAAAAAAAGTCTGACTATAATACTCCCCACCCTTAAAAAAAACTTTGATGGCTTCTCTTTGCCTGTATAATCTTCAAAAGCGTGCATAATCTGGCCTCACCCAACCATTTAATTACCAATAGTCTCCCTTCATTTCACCCCAGAAACCTAATGTTCTAGTGCAGCAAAGATGTGATGTTCTGAACACAACACACATTTTGAGATCATTGTACTTATGGCCACAGAGAAATAAACGCTAAAGTTTCACTTCTATGTTGCAGTGAAAAAGACAGTCTCAATTAGTTTTCTTTGGAAAGTAGCCGAACTCCACGTAATGGGTGTGTGGATCCAGTAGTGTAAAACTGATAGTGGGGGTGGGAGGTGACCTCTATCTCTGAAACTCTTTCTCTTCACCTCTCCTCCAATTAGTGAAATAGTCATCTATCAAATGTCACCTTAAAGTAGAATTCATAGCTTCTTCTCTATGACCCCACCGTCTTCAATGAAAATGTCTTAATAGAAAATGTTATGACACATATACAAGGATGACCCCAAATTTTGTGAAATATTTCGTATATGTTGTTCCTTTCATGCTACCTGGTATATTCATATTTCTATTACAGCACTTAAATTGCCATGTAACTGTTTACATATATGTCTTCTCTCACTGAACTCTTTCTGAAGGATAGGGACCACGTTTTACTCATCTTAGTATCCTTAGTGCCTAGGACAATCTCGTATCCAACCTATAGTAGTAGCCAAATAAATATTTGGTAATGAGGCCGGGTGCGGTGGCTCACACCTGTAATCCCAGCACTTTGGGAGGCCAAGGCGGGCAGATCACTTGAGGTCAGGAGTTCGAGACCAACCTGGCCAACATGGTGAAACCCGTCTCCACTAAAAATACAAAAATTAGCTGGGCCAGGTGACACGTGGCTGTAATCCCAGCTACTTGTGAGACTGAAGCAAGAGAATCATCTGAACCCAAGGGGTGGAGATTGGAGTGAGCCAACATAGTACCTGCCACTGCACTCCAGCCTAGGCGACAGAATGAGACTCCATCTCACAAAAACAGACAAACAAACAAAAAAAAAACTGGTAATGAGTGAATAATGTATTAGTCATTATTTCTGACTTCTCTATCTCTGCCTAGCAACTTCTTGAAAGGCAGGATCCAATCTTAATCATTTTATTTTTAGCACCTATTAATCATTTTATTTCTAGCACCTGTTACAACTACTGACATATATTGTTTCCGGTTAGTATTTGCTGTCTTTCAATGAATTTCACATATTCCATTCTTTACTCATTACTGTGGTTTAATGTTTTATGTTGGTCACTAGCATAAGATTTAAAATTGGAGGGGACTTTAATCATCTGATACAACACTTTCGTTTCCTGCGGATAAAGATACTGAGCCAAGAGAGGTCAGATGATTTCCCCATAGCAATCAGGAAATGCTGGATCTAGAACCAAGTTCTCAGGTTTCCCAGGTTAATACTCATTCTACTATATTTTGTTACTTAGATTGAATTTATAAAACAACTTTTACCAGTTTCATTTTTTAAACAACACCTGCAAAGGACCCTCATCATCAGATATTGTTTATCTCAAACATTTTTGGGAGCACCTCTGTTAAGAGACATTTGAGGTTCCTGTTTTTAAGTTTTCAGTCTTGTGAAGGATCTCATAACAATCTGGATAAAAATGTTATTTGGGCCGGGTGCAGTGGCTCACACCTGTAATCCCAGCACTTTGGGAGGCTGAGGCCGGCGGATCATGAGGTCAGGAGATCGAGACCATCCTGGCTAACACAATGAAACCCCTTCTCTACTAAAAATACAAAAAATTAGCCAGGTGTAGTGGCACACACCTGTAGTCCCAGCTACTTGGGAGGCTAAGGCAGGAGAATCGCTTGAACCTGGGAGGCAGAGGTTGCAGTGAACTGAGATCACGCCACTGCACTACAGCCTGGGCGACAGAGCGAGACTCCATCTCAAAAAAAAAAAAAAAAGAAAGATAAAAAAGTTATTTGGCAAAAGAAAGCAACGTTTTGTTTTTCTTTGGGTAGGAATGTTTTTAAGTTGGAAGTTTTGCCTAGTTTTAGTTCACTGTCAACTTTAATAATTTGTGAAGTCTTATTAGAGATTTTCAAAAATAAAATTAATTTTATTTCTAGGTTTTCACATCCCTTCTATGAGTTTTGCCATCTGTAGCTTTTACCAACAATTGTGGTTTAATCAATTAGAAATAGAGACGAGTCATTAACCAGGAGAAAATGTCAAATCTAAAAATGAAAGAGGCGGCCCTCATCTATCTTGACAGAAGTGGAGGCCTCCAAAAGTTTATAGATGATTGCAAGTACTACAATGGTACGTTCAGCAAAAGTGAGTAATTTTTAAAACTTTCAAATAAACTCCTACACATAGCTATCCTGACTTTTACATTTGTATATTTTCACAGATTCAAAACAAAGCTATGCTGTCTATCGATTCAAAATTTTAATAAATCCCTCTGATGTTGTTGAATTAGATGCTGAGCTTGGAAATCACATTTTACACCAACCTTTAAAAGCAGCTGAAGTTTTTCAATCAGTAAGTCAAAAAAAGAAATAATTTTGTGCCACACGGAATTTTTGGTAACTTTTTTTGTTTGTTTGAAATCACAGGTCTGTTTTATTGCTGTTAAGACTCTCTCATTAATTGGACAATTGCAGACTGAAACACAAGTAAGTTTTAGTTAAATTTAACTAAGCAATCTCAGGTACAAATTCACATGATGACTGTAAAAAGGTATTTTTATATTCATAGACTTTTTTTAAAAAAGGATAGTACATTTTTTTAAAGTTCAATAGAATATCTTACATATGCATCTTTATTTCTCATATTATCCCTTATAACATTAAACACTTTTTTTTTTTTTTTGAGATGGAGTCTCGCTCTGTCGCCAGGCTGGAGTGCGGTGGTGCAATCTCGGCTCACTGCAGCCTCTGCCTCCTGGGTTCAAACAATTCTTCTGCCTCAGCCTCCCGAGTAGCTGGGATTACAGGTGCCCGCCACCACGCTTAGCTAATATTTTTATTTTTAGTGAAGACGGGGTTTCACCATGTTGGCCAGGCTGGTCTCAAACTCCTGACCCCGTGATCCGCCCACATTGGCCTCCTGAAGTGCTGGGATTACGGGTGTGAGCAACCACGCCTGGCCAACATTAAACACTTGTATAATAAAACTTTTCAAACATACCCAAAAGTAAAGGGAATAATACAGTGAACCTTCATATATCTACCACTCAACTCAGATTCAATATTATAATATTTTTTCATACCTGCATCATGAATTTTTTTTCTAAAATATTTTAAAGCAAATCCCAGGCATTCTATTATTTTATCTCTACATACTTTAGTATCAACCTGTAAAAATTATGGACATTTTTCTTTTTTCTTTTTTTGAGAAGGAGTTTCACTCTTGTTGCCCAGCCTGGAGTGCAATGGCGCTATCTCGACTAACTACAACCTGCACCTCCCGGGTTCAAGCAATTCTCCTGCCTCAGCCTCCCAAGTAGCTGGGATTACAGGCATATGCCACCACGCCTGACTAATTTTGTATTTTTAGTGGAGATGGGGTTTCTCCATGTTGGTCAGACTGGTCTCGAACTCCCAACCTCAGGTGATCCACCTGCCTCGGCCTCCCAAAGTGCTGGCATTACAGGCATGAGCCACCATGCCCGGCTGTGGACATTTTTGTTATGTAACCAGAATGTTATCACCCCTACACAAGTAACAATAATTCCTTGATATTATCTAAAGTCCAGTTTACATTTAAATTTGCCCAATTGTTTCAAGAATATCTTACAGTAGGTTTGTTCCAAATCAGGACCAAAACAAAGTTCACACATTATAATTTGTTCTTACATCTCACTAAGTCTCTTTCAGTCTAGAGCCATTTCCTCTCCCTCCCTTTTTAGACCATTAACTTTTTGAAGAAACTAATTGTCCTATGTTATATAATCTTGATTTGTCCTAATTGCTTCCTTGTAGGGCTATTTATCTTATTTCCCTAACCTCATATTTCTAAAATAGAAGTTGACTGTAAAAGCTTTTTAGATTCAGATTCAAATCACTTGACAAGAATACGTAATAGTTAGTGTAATGTATTACATATTGTGCTATATCAGGAGGATATAGTATCTATTGTTGCACTTTTAACAGTGTCACAATTGATTAATGGGTTCCTGTGATGTCATTCCCTTCTCTCCATTATACAGTTTCTCGTCAACTTTCACCTAATGGTTTTAGCAGCCATTGATGTTCATTGCCTAGAATTCGTTATTTCATTAGGAGTTGCAAAATTGCAATTTTTCTAGTTTTAGCATTCTTTCTGAATTAGCTGAAATTCTTCTGTAAGACTAATTTTCTCTCATCAGCTAGTTAGTTACTCTGAAATATAATTTGTGCAGGAAAAGCAGGGTAAATGATTTTTTGCCTTTATAAAGAGTAATGAGTTGAAATCTAGCAGCCTCCAATAATGACCAATTTTTTGGGGGGGGTTCCTTTTTTAAATATGAGGAACTCATGAACTTTTAAATATATACAATATGTTTCAGTGAGTCTCTGTCATTCCTTTTGATGCTCATATTATCCTACCTTTTGTCATTGGGGGTCCCTTCAAGGTTGCTCCTATGTCTTTTTGACACAGGCCATTTGTTAGAAGATACCCCAAGTTCATCTGTTATATTTTCTATCCTAGGCCTGAAATCAGCCATTTCCCCCAAGGAATCCTGATTCCTTTTAGTGAGAAAAGATACTTAACAAGAGATCACAATCTGGGCACTAGGCATGCTTCTTTGCTACTTGGCTGACTTTTTTTTTTTTTTTTTTTTTTTTTTGAGACGGAGTCTCACTCTGTCGCCCAGGCTGGAGTGCAGTGGCACAGTCTCGGCTCACTGCAAGCTCCACCTCCCGGGTTCACACCATTCTCCTGCCTTAGCCTCCCAAGTAGCTGGGATTACAGGGGCCCGCCACCATGCCTGGCTAATTTTTTGTATTTTTAGTAGAGACAGGGTTTCACCGTGTTAGCCAGGATGGTCTCTATCTCCTGACCTCATGATCTACCAGCCTTGGCCTCCCAAAGTGCTGGGATTACAGGCGTGAGCTACCGCACCTGGCCCTGGTTGACATTGCTTTTTAAGTCTTTTCAGTGGATATGGTCAGAAATTGTGTATATTTAAGGAAAAATTTAAAGTTCATAATGCTATTTTCAATTAAAATATTAGATGGCAGGATTTTTACTTCTTTAACTTTATACTTGAATATCATTTCTCTAAGGCTTAAAATTTTGATTCCTAAGAACATTAACATATCATTACTTGACTTACTCTATAATATACTTACTATATTGTAATACAAGTCAAATTGGATTTTCAATTTTCATTAATACCATTTTTATGTTCTTATTAGATTAATATAGTGCTGAAATTAACACATTTACCTCCCCTGCCAAGTTATGGTCTTGATCTGTGTGAATTTCCACTTGATTATACATCTCAGAGATTTTATATGATGCAAGGAATTGTGATTGCAATGACAACTGTAACCAAGTATACACAAGGTGCAAGATTTCTTTGTTCAGATGAAGCATGCCCTCTTTCAAAAGGTAAATATTAAAAAGGCAAATCAAAGCATTAAGCAATTGGCTAGGCATGGTGACTCACACCTGTAATCCCTTCACTTTGGGAAGCTGAGGAGGGAGGATCACCTGATCTCAGCAGTTTGAGACCAGCGCAACATGGAGAAACCTCATCTCTACAAAAAATACAAAAATTAGCCCAGCATAGTGGCACATGCCTGTAGTCCCAGCTATTCAAGAGACTGAGTTGGGAGGATTGCTTGGGCCAGGGAGGTCGAGGCTTCAGTGAGCTGTGTTCATGCCACTGTACTCCAGCCTGGATGACAAAGAGAGACCCTGTCTAAAAAAATAAATAAATAAATAAATTGAACAATTTATTGTTTAATCCTAAATCATATTTACAATTAGTTATAAAACACTCACAAAATAGAAAAAATTTAAATAAAAATTTTATATCTCCTAGTGTTTATATATTTACTTTGCATAATCTTGAAATGCATTTTTTCTCCTTTTCTCTGCCACCCCCATCTTAACAAGTGCACCTATATTGCTGAAGTACTTGCTCTTCTCACACATTATTTCATGACGTTGTGAATGAAACATTTAATGTCCTCTCTCAACCCTTTGGCTTAACCTCAGTTTAGTCCTTCTCCAGGACTTCAAAATTATCCCCGCCACCTCTCACTGGGGTTGATTGACCCTCCTGTCTTCTCTCTGAACACTCTGCAAATGAATACCACAGGTGGAAATTACCTGTTTCTCACTGCCACATATAGAAATTGTGTGCTTAAGCATCCATATTGCCAGTGCCTTAGCACAGTGCCTTGCAAAAACAGCTGTTAACTGTTAATTGAACTAACCTGAACTCAAATGCAAAACTGAATTAATTCCATTTTGAATTAGACTAATTTTAAAGTACTGAAATAGCTACAATCTGTTAGTGTCAGTAATAAAAGAAAAAAGAAAATGTAAAATTAAAAAATTAAAAAATAACAACAATAACAAAAGAAACAAAATAGATAGCTAAATCTGAAAGCAAATGTATCTTACCACTGTTTTTCTTTCAGGATTTCAGTATATAAGAGTGCATGTGCCTGGTGCTACAGAATCTGCAACAATAAGAAATGACTTTTTGTGTAATCTATGTGCATCTTCACTTCAAGAAGACAGAAAATTTAGAGTACTTGGTGGTAATATGCATTTACATTTTGTAATTACAATTTTTAAAGTAGTGTCTGATATTTCAATATGGAAATTAAATTAAATATATATTCTAATATCTAATTCTTTTTTGCTCTTTGCTTTAAGATAAACAAATAGTTGAAATAATTGCCACAAAGGGACTTCATGCTTTTCAAGGACATTCTAACAATCAGCCATTTAGGTTTCAATCTGTTACAATTTTCCTAAGAGGTAAGTGAATTCTGTTTGAACTCAAAATAAATTGCTATAAGTATGTAACTGGCTGGGCACAGGGGCTGGCTCATGCCTGTAATCCCAACACTTTGGGAGGCTGAGGTGGGAGGATCACTTGAGGCCAGGAGTTTGAGACCAGCTTAAGCAATATAGTGAGACCCCATCTCTATAAAAAATTTAAAAATAAAAAATTAGCTAGATGTGGTGGCATATGTCTGTAGTCCTAGGTACCTGGGAAGCTAAGGTGGGATGGTGGGAGGATTGACTAAGCCCAGGAGTTGGAGGCTGCAGTGAGCCATGATGGTGCCACGGCACTCCAGTCTGGGCAACCGAGACCGTGTCTCTAAAAAAATAAAAAAACACTGGCCAGTGCAGGCGTGGTGGCTCAAGCCTGTAATCCCAGCACTTTGAGAGGCTTAGGATGGTTGATCACCTGAGGTCAGGAGTTCAAGACCAGCCTGGCCAACGTGGTGAAACCCCATCTCTACTAAAAATACAAAAATTAGCCAGGCTTGGTGACGGACACCTGTAATCTCAGCTACTCAGGGTGCTGAGGCAGGAGAATCGCTTGAACCCGGGAAGCAGAGGCTGCAGTGAGCCAATATCGTGCCACTGCACACCAGCCTGGGCGACAGATTGGGACTCCATCTCAGAAAAAAAGCCATTGACTTGTTTATGCTTATAAATTATAAATGGTATTTCTATATCTTAAGAATCACAAGTCTTCTAATTCTTGAGTGTTTTAAAAGAGTCATATTTAGTTAATATATCAATTATTCATTCAGTCATACAACACTCACTTAAAATGATATTAGGACCGACTGTGTCCCAAGCACTGAGCTAAGTCCCAGGGCCACAGTTGTTTTAAGACAATGGGATCTCCTATTATTCTATGTGTGTGTCTTACATAAATATTGGAGTTATTGTTCAGCTCTCTGGGGCTAGAGAGAAAAGAAAAAAAAAGGAAGACCACTCTGATCACAGAGATAAGTTAACCCTTGCTCCTTCCTGTAAACCTTTCTTTCACAGCTTTACAACCAACCAACTTCTAACTGTGGCATGGAGGATCAAAATTTTTAGTGTGTTTTTTAAAATAAATTTTGAACTCATGCAAAGTGTTGCCCAAACTCTAGGTATGAGAGAGGAACCTAGTATAATACAAGAGGGTAGACTTTGTAGGTAGGCAAACCTAAATGTGAATTTCAGTTCTGCTTCTTACTAGTTATTTAGCTTTGTGCAAGCCATGTAACCTCTCGGTTTTTTCATATATAAAACACAGATAAGAATATCTTACAGGCTGAGCATGGTGGTTTACACCTGTAATCCCAACACTTTAGGACGCTGAGGCAGGAGGATTGCTTGAACCTTAGAATTTGAGGTTACAGTGAGCTGATTGTGCCACTGCACTACAGCCTGGGCAACAGAGCAAGACTTTGTCTCAAAAACAAACAAAAAAACACATATTTTATAAGTTAAATAATGTTTTTACAAGTACTTACATGTATTGTAGACAGTAAAATTATTTTCCTCTCAAATAATATTATCACTTGTAAGGTCATTTTTATTAACATTCCTTTTCATTGAATGGAAAAATGTTTCATCTTATATGGAATAATTTTATTTTCTTTCGACCATGTTATAGAAGAGTGTCTAGTTGCTATATCACATGCTTCTTGAAGTTAAAGTCATCATTGCAAATAAGAATCAAAATTTATCAGCAATAAAATTGCATCAGTTTATATTATTAGTGTCACTTTATGTGGATATTATGCTAAACAAAAATACTCCTAACTCAACCACTTTATGTGGATATTATGCTAAACAAAAATACTCCTAACTCAACTACTGAATTGTTACTAGTTCTGGATCTTTGAACCATATGTTCATGTACAAAGTTCATTTAGTGAATATGCATTTTCTTCTGTTTTTAATAATTTTAGATGAATCAGTGAATAAAATGAATATAGGAAATGAATATAAAATTATTGGAATTCCAACCTGTGTAAAAGCTTCACAAACTGCTGTCTGTATAGAAGCAAATAGCATAACTTTTTGTAATTCAAAAGGTAAGGAAAATTTTAGTATTATATATTAACAAATATTTAAATTTAAATCTATTTGTTCCACAGATAAGTATGGTTTGCCTATGTGCTAGGCATTCTTTTAAGCACTAAGAATACAGTTGTAAACAGGACAGTCAAGGTTTCTGCTCTTAAGTCATATGGCAGACAGTCAATAAACATGTAAAGTAAGCAAAAGACAATTTCAGATAATAAGTACATGAAGGAAATAAAACAGGATAATGTTGTGGAAACTTTCTAGCATGCAGGACTCCTTTCTTTGGGCTAAGCCTTATTTTAATTTTTAAAATAATTAATAATGAGAAAAATGTTTCAGGATTAGAGATTAGTCAAAGGATTTTTCTATACCACTAGCCAAGGCAATTCTGGGTTAACTGTTGTGGTCTGAGAAGGAGAGCTCAATAAAGTAGCATCCTTGGCTGGGCGCTGTGGCTCACACCTGTAATCCCAGCACTTTGGGAGGCCAAGGTGGGTGGCTCACGAGGTCAGGAGTTCAAGACCAGCCTGGCCAAGATGGTGAGACCCCATCTCTACTAAAAATACAAAAGTAGCCGGGCACAGTGGCAGGTGCCTGTAATCCCAGCTACTTGGGAGGCTGAGGCAGGAGAATCGGTTGAACCTGGGTGACAGAGGTTGCAGTAAGGCAATATTGCACCACTGCACTCCAGCCTAGGTGATAGAATGAGATTCCGTCTAAAAAAAAAAAAAAAGCATCCTTTTCTTCAACTGAATTCTGAACCAAATCAAGAAATAAGATAAAGGCAGATGAGGACCAAAATATCACCTTTATTACTGATAATTTCCTTTAACAACTCCAACATGCGTTAGCATTATGTAAACAAAAGTGGAGAGCAGACCTATTCTTTCAACTTGGCTCACAAGTATCTAAATATAGAAAAGGCTGGTTAAATCTTGAATAGAGTTGGATTTTTTTGTAATCTGTATGTTCCCTGAATGGGCTATATATATTCAAAGTGATCCCTAAATGCAGAAGGACCTGAGGAACCAAAGCAGGCAGACAAGTCCAGCTTGTCATTATAGGATGGTTTTACTGGGGAACTTAAGGACAGAAGCATGATCTTGGGCAGCCGCAAGACAGGTGGATCTCCATGCTATTACCCCCAGACCCAGGAATTATATAGGGAAGGAGTACACACGCTTCCGAGGGATTGGATAGGAATTGATCTAAGGACAGGATTTACAGTAAGTATTAATTATCAAGGTTGATTGATCTAAGGGCAGGATTTATGGTAAGTATGTGCTCTTGCTTGAGGAACAATAGATCAACTGGCAATTTCCCAGCATTCACAGATCTGGGGTTTACCAGAAGTCAACATGGTAGATTAGCTTCCAAGATGAAGTTTCTTTTCTTTCTCTTTTTCTTTCTTTTTTTTTTTTGAGACGGAGTCTTGCTCTGTCGCCCAGGCTGGGGTACAGTGACGCTATCTTGGCTCACTGCAACATCCACCTCCCGGGTTCAAGGGATTCTCCTGCCTCAGCCTCCTGAGTGGCTGGGATTACAGGTGCTTACCACCACGCCCAGCTAATTTTTGTATTTTTAGTAGAAACGGGGTTTCACCATGTTGACGAGGCTGGTCTCGAACTCCTGACCTGATCTGCCCACCTCGGCCTCCCAAAGTGCTGCAATTACAGGCATGAGCCACCACGCTCAGCCCAGGATGAAGTTTCTTTAGCTTCCATACTGTGGGTAATCATCAGTAGTAATAGACACCCAAGTTGAATTTAAATGCAAGTAGATTCTAAATACTTCTACTTTCTTGAAGAGAAAAACTTCTTAAAAGAACAAAAATGTTAAAGAAAGAAAGCACTGATGGATTATAGAGGGTTTAGTGATCTTTTAAATATTTTCTGCTAAGTGTTTTAAAATTTATTGATTTGGTAGCAGAACATGACTTTTCTGTAGATGGAGAGTGTGCTTTCTTATGCTGAACTCCAGAATGAGACATATTTAACTACCCAAATGTGGCAAGAGCTGAACTAAAGTAGGCCTCTCTTAGTCCATGGGCATGTATGAGTTAGAGGAAATCATTGCTTTTTGATGGCAGCCCAGAAAGAAGGAGAATGGGACTAGGTTATACATGCACAGCTGTTCCACCCACATTACCAATTGGATAAATCACTCATTCCTTTCAGGAGGTGGAGAGTGAGAGGATGGAGAAGATCTAGAATTTTACAGTATACTACAGTACAGTGCTTTCAAAGTAGTGGGATGTAAATCTTTCTGTTTAACAGCAACATTCAAATATTTCCCATTCTGCTTATTATTCCTCTTTGAAGGTGATACATAGAAATATAGGAGCAAACACAGCAATGCAGGCACTCCATGAACTGGTTTGCTCTCATAGATCTTAAAAGGAGAAGAATGAGGGATTTGCCTGCAACCCACAGCCAATCTATGTGGACACAAAGGGTGACTTCTTCCTTGTATTACATTCCCTGAGGTAGAAATGGTAAACTAGCACGACCTCGAATCATAATTTAATATCATTCTAAGAATTTAAAGGCCAAGCATGGTGGCTCAGGCCTGTAATCATAGCCCTTTGGGAGGCCAAAGCAGGGGAATCAGTTGAGGCCAGGGGTTCAAGAGCAGCCTGGGAAACATAACAAGATCCTGTCTCTAAAAAAAAAGAATATGGTATTATTAGAACTATAATTTGATAACATCTTATATAAAGGGAGTCAAATATCTATAATGTTGTCTTGTTTTAAAACCCTTTCTAATATATATGTTAATATTTACTTTCAGTTCCTTCAGGAATTAGTGACAATTTCAGGTGTCTCCTCTCCTTAACTTCCAGCTCATGCTGGAAGTTTACAGCAATTCTTGCCAATATCTTTGCATCACAAATTACCCCTCCTGGGACTTACAATTTGCTCAAGCTGTGTTTGTTGATGAGTCTAGTACAGACAACTGACCGTAACAAGGAACTAGAAGATTGCCTGGATATTTTAATTATAACAAGTGATACTCTACTCATAGACAGGTAAATACATGACATGAATTTTTACAAATATTAATTGGTCACAGATTTGCATACATCCTTTCCATGAGCATTATTACAAGAAGAATATTTAGAATTTTTCTGAGCCAGTATAAGTACTTAAATCAATCTTTATCAATAAAATTCAAAACCTTTGAAAGATAAATTGTTAAGTGCTAAGTTGAATTACTCCAATTTTCAAACTATTTCCTCACTCAGACCTTTGTAAATAATTGCATCCTTCCCAGCCTTCCTTTCCCCTTATCCCTAGCTCTGTATGCTGTTTCTGTACTTTGTTTTGAATAATCTTCCCCCTAAGGAACAAACTAACCATTTTCTTATTTTTCTTCAATATTCCATCAATAATATTGACTCACTGCATCCAAATAAGCCTGTCAGAAGTGCCATAATTACTGTTTGGGGGGAATATCATCCTAACTTTGGAGTAAGCCTCTACTTAGCATTTTGTGGCTCCCCACTAGCAAGTACCCTTTCCTTAAAAAGTTGCTTAAATATTCACAAAGCTAGGAATAAACTCCTTATTTAGTATCTTGTATGCAGTTTCAAAGCAAAAAATAAATTTACAAAATGAATTTAAAATAGAAAAAAATAAAATTCAAATTAACAGTAATTTAATTGAACAGATTATGTTTTGCTAAAATTAAATTGCCACTGGTGATGTAAATATGGTACCAAATGCCCAGATTGTACCACTTTATTCTTCTACTGACAGAATATGAGAGTATTTGTTTCCTCACAGCCTCACCAACTCTGGGTATTATCAAACTTATATTTTTGTTGTCATTATTTTTTGAGACAGGGTCTCACTCTGTCACCCAGGCTGGAATGCAGTAGCATGATCATGACTCACAACAGCGTCAACCTCCTGGGCTCAAGTGAACCTCCATCCTCAGCCTCCTGAGTAGCTATGACTACAGGTGCACACCACTACACTGGGCTAATTTTTTAATTTTTTATATAAGCAAAGTCTCCCTATGTTGCTAAGGCTGAACTCCTGGGCTCAAGCAATCCTCTCACCTCATTATAAACTTTAAAATTTTGCAATCTGGGCTTGGCGTGGTGGCTCAGGCCTGTAATCCCAGCACTTTGGGAGGCCGAGGCAGGTGGATCATGAGGTCAGGAGATCGAGACCATCCTGGCTAACATGGTGAAATCCCATCTCTACTAAAAATACAAAAAACTAGCCAGGCGTGGTGGCGCGCACCTGTAGTCCCAGCTACTCAGAAGGCTGAGGCAGGAGAATTGCTAGAACCCAGGAGGCGGAGGTTGCAATGAGCTGAGATCACACCACTGCACTCCAGCCTGGGCGGCAGAGACTCTGTCTCAAAAAAAAAAAAAAAAAAAAAAAAATTGCCATCTGATAGGTGGAAAATTGTATTTTATTTTAATTTGCATTTATTTAATTGGAAATAGAAAAAGAAAGGAAGGGAGGGAGGGAGGGAGGAAGGAAGGACGGAAGGAAGGAAGGAAGGAAGGAAGGAAGGAAGGAAGGAAGGAAGGAAGGAAGGAAGGAAGGAAGGAAGGAAAAGAAAAGAAATTGCCAGTTTTCCAAAGTGGTTGTACCGGGCTCTGTGAGAGATTGGTTTGTTTTTTCTTTTTAGGTAAAATTTACACACAGTGAAATAATCAGATCTTATTATAGAACATTTCTATCACCCCAGAAATTTCCCTCCTTCCCTCTTCCAATCAGTTCCTATCTTCACTGGTGATTTCTGTCACCATAGATTAATTTTCCTGTTCTTGAACTTCAGATAATGAAATCATACAGTGCATCCTCTTTTGGGTCTACTCTCTCTTACTCAACAAAATATTTTTGAATTGATCCAATTGTGTACATTAGTAGTTCATTGTTTCTGTTGATGAGTAGCATTTCATTATATGAATGTACCAAAATTTGTTTATCTGTTCTCATAGTGGAAGTCGTTTGGTTTTGCATGTTTTGACTATTACTAATAAAGCTGCTGTAAACATTCTTGCACAAGCCTTTTTGTGGACATGTATTTCCATTATCTTGGGTAAATACCTAGGAGTGGAATTGCTGGGTCATAAGGTAGATGTATAACTTTTTTTTTTGAGATGGAGTTTCACTCTTGTTGCCCAGGCTGGAGTGCAATGGCACAATGTCGGCTCACTGCAACCTCCTTCTCCCAGGTTCAAGCAATTTCCCTGTCTCAGCCTCCCTAGTAGCTGGGATTACAGGCACGTGCCATCACACCTGGCTAATTTTTGTATTTTCAGTAAAGATGGGTTTCACCACATTGGCCCGGCTGGTCTCGAACTCCTGACCTCAGGTAATCCACCCACCTCAGCCTCCCAAAGTGCTGGGATTACAGGCATGAGCCACTGTGCCTGGCCTATAATTTTATAAGAAACTGCCAGTTGGCTGGGCGCAGTGGCTCATGCCTGTAATCCCTGCACTTTGGGAGGCTGAGGCAGGCAGATCACCTGAGGTCAGGAATTTGAAACCAGCCTCGCCAATGTGGGGAAACCCCATCTCTACTAAAAATACAAAAATTATTTGGGTATAGTGGCATGTACCTGTAGAACCGGCTACCCTTGGGAAGTTGAGACATGAAAACTGTTTGAACCCAGGAGGTGGAGGTTGCAGTGAGTCGAGACAGTGCCACTGCACTCCAGCTTGGGCAACAGAGCAAGACTCAGAAAGAAAGAAAGCGAGAAAGAGAGAGAGAAAGAAAAGAGAGAGAGAAAGAGAGAGAGAGAACGAGAGAACAAGAGAAAGAAAAGAAAGAGAGAAAGAAAAAGAAAGGAAGGGAGGGAGGGAGGGAGGAAGGAAGGACGGAAGGAAGGAAGGAAGGAAGGAAGGAAGGAAGGAAGGAAGGAAGGAAGGAAAGAAGGAAGGAAGGAAAAGAAAAGAAATTGCCAGTTTTCCAAAGTGGTTGTACCATTTTACATTCCTGCCAACAATGTAAAGAGTGCCTCTTGTTTCCATCTTCACCAACATTTGGTGTTGTGAGCCCTTTTCATTTTAGCCATACTAGTGGAAATGAAATGATATGTCATTGTTCTAATTTGCGTTTCCAAGATGACTATTGATTTGAACTCTTTTTCATGTGCTTATTGGCCACTCGTATATCTCTTTTTATGAAGTGTCTGTTTTTATAAAGTGTTTGTTCATTTTTTAGTTTAGTTGTTCTGGATGCATGTCCTTTGCCAAATACATGTATTATAAAATTTTTCTCCAGGTATAAAGCTTTTTAAAAATTGTCTAAAGGTATCTTTGATGAGCAGACTTTCTAGTTTTGATGAAATTCAATTTATTATTTACTTTTATGCTTAGTGTTTTCTTACTTCTGTTTAAGAAATCCTTGTCTGGCTGGGCGCGGTGGCTCATGTTTATAATCCCAGCACTTCGGGAGGCTGAGGTGGGCGGATCACCTGAGGTCAGGAGTTCGAGGCCAGCTGGCCAATATGGTGAAACCCTGTCTCCACTAAAAAAAAAAAAAAAAAAAATTAGTGGGGCATAGTGGTGCGCACCTGTAATCTCATCTACTGGGGAGGCTGAGGCAGGAGAATCATTTGAACCCAGGAGGCGGAGGTTACAGTGAGCAGAGATTGTGCCACTGCACTCCAGCCTGGGTAACACAGCGAGACCCTGTCTCAAAAAAAAAAAAAAAAAGAAGAAATCTTTGTCTATCCCAAGATCATGAAGTTTTTAAATGTTTTCTTCTAGAAGCATTATAGTTTTAGTTTACTATTTATTTATGTAGAGATAAGTCTTGCTAGGCTGGTCTCAAACTTTCAGGCTCAAGCAATCCTCCTGCCTTAATCTCCCAGAGATTGGTAGGAGGTATGAGTTAAAGTTAATGTTTGTCCTATGCATTTATCCAATTTTTCCACACTAATTGTTGAAAAGATTTTCCTTTCCCCATTAAATTGTTTTGATACCATTGTTCAAATTCAATTGAACTAGGCAGAATCTGGGTATAAAATTGAACTGGATGTAAATCTTTTTGAACTCTCTTTTGTAATACTTTGATCTATTGTTCTATACTTATACCAATACTACACTCTCTTGATTATTGTAGCTTTATGTTCAGTCTTGAAATCAGGTAATGCAACTTTATCCTTCATTTTAAAGATTAAAACAATTTTAGATCCTTTGCATTTTTAAATAAATTTTAGAATCAGTTTATTTTTAGTTTTTGAGACAGGGTCACAGTCTGTTGCCCAAGTTTGAGTGCAGTGGCACAGTCATGACTCATTGCAGCCTCAAACTCTTGGGTTCAAGTGATCCTCCCACCTCAGCCTGCTGAGTAGCTGGGAACAGAGGCATGCACCACCACATCTGGTTAACTTTTTAGTTTTTTGTAGAGATGAGCTCTTGCCATATTGCCTAGACTGGTCTTGCACTCTCAGGCTCAAGCAATCCTCCTGCCTTGGCCTCCCAAAGTGCTAGGATTGCAGATGTGGGTCACTGTGCCCAGCCAAATCAGTATGTTAATACCAACCAAAAAGAAGCTTTTGAGTATTTTGATTGGAACTGTATTAAACTTATAAACAATTTCAGGGAGAATTAACATCTTAATAATATTGAGTCTTCCAATCCATGAATGTGGCATATCTCTCTATTTATTTAGATCTTCTTTAATTTCTCTCAGTGATGTTTTTATAAAGGTCATACAAATATTTTGTTAAATTGGTTCTAAAAATATTTGATATTTTTGATGCTACTAAAATGGTAGTGTTTTCTTAACTTCACTTTCAATTGTTTACTATGAATATATAGAAATACAATTGATTTTTGTATTTTGACTTTGTATTCTGTGACTTTCTGTGTATCAATAGTTTTAGAAGTTCCTTAGCCAGTTCCAATGTGTAGCCAAATTTGAGGCTCATTGTTCCATATCACTAAGTGCTCAGCCTAGCTGCCTATTAGAATCACCTGAGAGAATTTTTAAAAAATATTTATCACTGTGTCTCACCCCCAGAGTTTCTAATTTAAGTGGTTTGGGGTGGCACTTGGCATTGGAATTTGTTAAATCTCTCCAGGTAAGGTTAGTGCAGGCTGTGGTTGAGAACCACTCCTTATAGGCTTGCAAAGGTTTCTTTCTAAATATCGCTGTCTCATTTTATATATCTTCAAACATCCAAATTCCTTAAAATGGTACATGCGCTAGACATATTTTATACCATCTACCTATCCACATCTCACCCTCTTTTGCATTGCATGTCTATGCCTACGTTTGTATCACCCCCTTTTGTGTCGCACGTCTATGTCTACTCATCATAGTTGATTGCACTAGGAAGCTATAATTTCTGTGGCAAGGATTTGAAAGCTAGGCTGAGGTAATCATATTCCTTTTTCAGAATTTAAATTTGGAATATGAAGAGACTGAGGCAATTAGCAAAGAGGTTAGAAACCAAAATGACATATCAAGAATTGCCATGAGACAGACAGGCGCCTCATGCCTGTAGTTCCAGCTACTTGGGAGACTGAGCAGGCAGGCTTACATGAGTCCAGGAGTTTGAGGCTGTGTGTGCTATGACTGTATCATTGCATTCCAGCTTGTATGACAGAGTGAGACTCTGTCTCTTAAAAGAAAAAAAAAAAATTTGGCTGGACACAGTGGCTCTGTCTGTAATCCCAGCGCTTTTTGGGAGGCCAAGGCAGGAGGATCATTTGAGCTCAGGAGTTCAAGGCCAGCCTGGGCAACATGGTGAAACCCATCTCTACAAAAAAAAAAAAAAAATTTGAGCCGGCACAGTGACTTGTGCCTGTGGTCCCAGCTACTTGGGAGGCTGAGGAAGGAGAATCGTTTAAGCCTGGGAGGTGGAGGTTGGAAGCTGAGATTGTTCCACTGCACTCCAGCCTAGTGACAGGCAGAGGTTGCGGTGAGCTGAAATCATGCCACTGCACTCCAGCCTTGGTGCCTCAGAGAGACTCAAAACAAAACAAAACAAAAACAAACAAACAAAAAACCCCACAATTGCCATGATACAGAAACAGCAGAGTGATAGTTTTGATGGGACGCTAGAAAACCTAATGCAAAAATTCTGAATAGGCAAAAGAAAGCAATCCATAAAAAGAAGGCCTAATTCAAATGTCATCTCTCTATAACTTTCTCTGATTCCCTTCCAAGAAGAAATAATACTCCCATGGATGTTCTTTTGTTGTTGTTGTTTTTGAGATAGTCTTGCTCCGTCTCCCAGGCCAGAGTGCAGTGAAGTGATCTCGGCTCATTGAAATGTCTACCTCCCAGGTTGAAGCAATTCTCCTGCCTCAGCCTCCCAGTAGCTGGGATTACAGGTATGTAATTACAGGCCCAGCTAATTTTTGTGTTTTTAGTAGAGACGGGATTTTGCCATGTTGGCCAGGCTGGTCTCGAACTCCTGACCTCAAGTGATCCGCCTGCCTCAGCCTCCAAAGTATTGGGATTACAGTTGTAAGCCACTACACCTGGCCACCATGGATGTTCTAAATACTTTTTTTTTCTTTTTTTTTTTAGATGGAGTCTTGCTCTGTCACCAGGATGAAGACTTTTTTTTAGTACTTATCACATTGTGTTTTAGTTTTTTATATCTCTCTTTTTAGACTGTGAGCTTTCCAAGTTAAGGTCCAAGTCTTGTATATAATTTTGTTTTGTTTTTTGAGACAGAATCTCACTGTGTCACCCAGGCTGGAGTGCACAATCTTGGCTCATTGCAAGCTCTGCCTTCCGGGTTCAAATGATTCTTGTGTCTCAGCCTCCTGAGTAGCTCATCCTCCTGTAGTAGGACTACAGGCATGCACTAGCACGTCTGGCTAATTTTTGTATTTTCAGTACAGATGGAATTTCACCATGTTAGTCATATATATTTTTATCCCTAGCACAATAGCTGGTGTATCACAGGTGCTCAGTAAACATAGAATAAAATTAAATTTAATGTAACACATTGTGACTTTTGAAAATTAAGTAATAGTAATGAAAAGTTTACTTTTTTTTCCCTAGGCTTCTGAATTTTAGCATAAACCTTGTTCCCCGTGGCATACGTCATCTAGTCTCTACTGAAATTTTTCCCACTCTATCCAGGAATAAGTATGGAACTGGAGCAGTTAGCATTCAGGCTGGCAGTGCTTTGCTAGCTAAAGGTGGTATCTGCTTTATAGGAGACTTGGCCTCACACAAAAAAGATAAACTTGAACAGCTTCAATCAGGTAAACAATATTTGTAAAATTAATTTTCACCTGTTTAACTTATACTCTCATCCATGTTGAGATACTTAACAGTTAAGATAGTACTGCAGATGTTTGAGGGTTTGAGAAATTATGTTAGATGCCATTTCTCATTTTGGTTTTATAAGCAAAAACAGAAATTTAATGTGCAAATGCACAGTTTTAGCCTTTGCTCTCAGTGTGCTAACACATGAGCTTGTAATGGACCAGATTTATTTCCTCTTCTTGTCTTATAGCATTAGCTACCACTTCCAGTATAAAGTTGAAAAGTGGTGTTAAGAGAAAGGACATCCTCGCCTTGTTCCTGATCTGAGTGGGAAAGCTTCAAGTTTCTCACCATGAAGTATGATGTTAGCTGTACATTTTTTGTAGACATTCTTTATCAGTGGAAGTTCTTCTCTATTCCTAATTTTCTGAGGGTTTTTTTTTAATCATAAATGGATATTGGATTTTGTCAAATGCTTTGCTGCATCTGTTAATATGATCATGTCACAGGATCCTTCGGGTGCTGCTTCTCAAGCCAGAAACCTCTATATCCAGCAGCACCTCTGCTTGAGTTTCACTCCTGCCTGCTGGGCATGTTCTGCTCACTCGGCCCAGCAGGCTGCACTTGGCTTACACTACCAGTCCAGATCCCATGCCTGCTGAGGGCAAGCCAGGAGTGGAACAGCGAGGGGGTGTGTGAGTGAGCAAGCACAGGGTCCAGCCACTGCACATAGCCAGGCATGCCGGCTGCTGTGGCAGGGCAGGCAGCTCCAGGTGCTGGCACAGGTGCTGGCTTCATGCGTGGCTGTAGCTGGAATAGGCATACTGCAAGTGGCTTCTACTGAGGACCCTGGTGTCTGGATGAGGGGAACAGGGTGGCACCCAAAAACTTGGAGACACCAGCAACAGTGGAGCCCCAAGGGGTTGCAGGGAAGCATGCTACAGGTCTCTCGTTCCTGTTGCCCACAGCTCAGTGGATGGGGGGCACATGTTAACAGCTCTTTCAGTCCACTGCCTCACTCCAGCCCATGGCTCCTGGGCTGGCCCAGCACATTGCCACTTTCTGTCATGGGACAGCTGCCCAAGGCCGACAGAAGGCAGGAGGATTATAGTGTTACAGCTCTGACTCAGGAAATCCTGAGGTCTGGGCCTCCAGAAGGGTCATTGATCTTCAGTCCCGCAGTCCAACAAACAAGAATGTGTCACCACTCATAGCTCAGCAAGCTGACTAGGAAAGTGTTACAGCCCTTTTTGTTCCTGCCTGCCACTCAACAAGCCTGCCAGGAGAGTGTCATAGCCCTTTTTGCACCTGCCATTCAACAGGTCCCAAGTTCTTGTCCCATGTCCAGGAAGAATTAGCTTATGTGGACAACTGGAGAGTGAGCAAGGTGGAGAAGAGTTTTATTGCATGGCAGAACAGCTTTCAGTGGACAGGAGACCCGAAGTGGGTAGCTCCTACCCACAGGCAGGTAGTCCCAACCTGTGTCTGAGTCTGGCTGACTCTGGGGTTTTTATGGGCTAAGAATGGAGGAAGTACATGCTGATTGGTCCATGAGTGGGCCCAGAAAAACACCATCTGATTGGCTGAAAGGCATCAAGGACATTCTCACTCCAGGTGGTGGACTCCACCCAGAACTGGCAGCCTGGTTTTCAGGCTTCAAGCTGTCTCTTGCCTGAAGATTGGGTTCCACCAGGGACCTGCCCCTCTCTGCCCAGGAACCTGTCTGCCTCCTGCCATCATCAATCATATGATTTTTCTCATTTAGCCTGTTGATATGATGGATTACATTAATTGATTTTTGAATATCGAACCGGCCTTGCATACCTGGGATAAAGCTTACTTGGTCATGCTGTATAATTCTTTTTCTACATTGTTGGATTTGATATGCTACTATTTTTGTTGAGGATTTTTTAAATCTATGTTCATGAGAGATATTGATCTGTAGAGTTTTTTCCTTATAATGTTGTTGTTTGGTTCTGTATTAGAGTAATGCTGGTTGGGCCAGATTTATAACTAGCAAGGATATGGACAGCCATGGACTGGGCAAAGAGCAGTCAGAGCCTTGCCTTCTTGGCATACCAGCATGAATGTACAAGTGTGCTCAGGGCACACAGCATATTGCTTCACTTTATAAGAGAATACAGAAATTAGCTGTGCCCAGTGGCTCACACCTGGAATCCCAGCACTTTGGGAGGCTGAGGCAAGAGGATTGCTGGAGGCCAGGAGTTCCAGACCATCCTGGGCAACACACTGAGACCCCATCTCTACAAAAAAAAAAAAAAAAAAAAAAAAAAAAAAAAAAAAAAAAAAAAAAAAACAATAAAAACAAAATGAGGGTGTATTAGTCTGTTTTCATGTTGCTTATAAAGATATACCTGAGATTGGACAATTTACAAAATAAAGAGGTTTATTGGACTTACAGTTCCACATGGCTGAGGCCTCACAATCATGGTGGAGGGTGAAAGGCACGTCTCACATGGTGGCAGACAAGAGAAGAGAGCTTGTGCAGGGAAACTCCCCTTTTTAAAACTATCAGATCTTGTGAGACTTATTCACTATCACGAGAACAGTGCAGGAAAGACCTGCCCCCATGATTCAGTTACCTCCCACCAGGCCCCTCCCACAATACATGGGCATTCATGGTGAGATTTGGGTGGGGACACAGCCAAACCATATCAGAGACTATAGAAATAGACCCACATTTTATAGTCAATTGATTTTTGACTACAGCACCAAAGTTAGTCAGTGGGAAAAGGAGTTTTTCTCATCAAAGGATGGTGGAACATCTGGCTGGTGCAGAGGAGGGCCTCAGTACAACTGCACTTGTTCCACACTCATGAAGCTGGCCCTGCTAGTATGTCCTCTCCCCACAAGAGCTTGGAATATGGTTTAAAACTCTGCTGTCATCATCTTCAAATTTTTAATAATTTTATCTTTGTATTATAAGGAAGTCCAATGAGATAATGGCACTTGACTGTGAGTAGAGGAGACACATGGATGCCTGTTTTTACTGTGCCTTCCTGCCCCATTTCATACAGCATTTGTGATCACTATGCAGCTTTCATAACACACTCAATTTGTACTTTCTTTGATTGTTGCTGGACTCCCATGTGTCATAGGTGCACTATAAGCCAGTGCCTATAGTTCCATATCAACACATTTTCAACTGAGTAAGAGGGAGTGCTAATAACCCCAAGTGGCCATGCTTTTCATTTGAACTAGTGTGCTTCTAATGCAGAAAGAAGGCAATGGCCTTTCAAGAAACACACATTACCAAGTAGCCCTATCATCCTCTTTCTTACTTGGTTGGTTCCCTGTATTTGCCAACCACTTACACTGAAAACGATGACACAGGAGGAAAGGGAAAGATAGGGCAAATCCATAGCCTTGTCATTTCAGTCATTCCTCACTTATCAGTAAGCTGAAGGTAGAGAGTGTTGGTGAAATGTATGCATATCAAGAAGTAAAATAAAAATTGTTTTGTGCAGTATTTCCACTGTTCTGGTAAAAACAAAATACATATGCATGTGCAAAGTACTATCGGTTCCACTTATAAGATAAATGCCCATATATTTGCATTATACAATATAAAGATAAAAGTATTGTACAATATAAAGATAAAAGGTAAAATTTATGGCAATATAAAATTTTAATTTTTCTTTATTTAGAATGGCAATACTACTATTACATTTTTTGTAACAGTTTTATTGAGATTCACACATCATACAATTCACCACTGAAAGTATACAGTAAAGTGCTTTTTATTATATTCACAGAGTTACTGTGAATCTCAGTGCTACTATTACCACTAACTTCAGAATATTTTCATCACCCCAAAAGGAAGCCCCATACCCATTAGCAGTCAACCCCCAGTCCCTGCCTCCCGTCACCTACTCCCACACAGTCCCTGGCAAACACTATTTGCTTTCTGTTTCTGTGTATTTGCCTTTTCTGAACATTGCATAGGCAGTCTTCCCTCAGTATTCTCCAGGGATTGGTTCCAGGGCCTCTGCAGATACCAAAATCCACAGATGCTCAGGTCCCTTATATAAAATGGCAGAGTATTTGCATATAATCTATGCACATCCTCCCATATACTTTAAATCGTCTCTAGATTACTTATAATAGTCAATACAATGTAAATGCTTTGCAAATTATTATACTGTGTTGTTTTTTATTGTTGTTATTGTTTTATTTATTTATTGAATATTTTTCATCAGCCGTTGGTTGAATCTACAGATGCAGACAGACCTTTATATATAGATGGCTGACTATAAATGGAATCAAATGATACGTGGTCCTCCGTGATGGCCCTGGCCTCTTTCTTCTTATTCTCCTTCTTCCTTCTTCTTTCTTTCTTTCTTTCTTTCTTTCTTTTTTTTTTTTGAAACAGGGTCTTACTCTGTTGCCCTGGGTGGAGTGCAGTGGTGTCATCATACCTCACTGCACCCTTGAAGTCCTGGGCTCAAGCAGTTCTCTCACCTCAGCCTCCCAAGTAGCTGGGACCACAGTAACATGCCACAATGCTTGGCTAATTTTTTGTAGTAACAGAGTCTTGCCACATTGCCCAGGCTGGTCTCAAACTCCTGGGCTCAAGCAATACCCCCATGTCAGCCTCCCAAAATGCTCCATATTTTTTGTTTGGGTTTTAAGTGGGAGGTGGAGGGACAATGAATTTGGTTTTGAACATGTTGAATTTGAGATGTATTTTCCCCCAGTCATTGTAGTTCATATTATCTCTGTCTTTTCTTCTTTCACTCCCACATGGATGGCCTGCTTTCTATCATTTTCCCCACATAAAAGAACATGATTTAATTTTAGCCTCTCTTGTAAATCTGTATTATATGACCAATCTCTTAGCCCCCTGCCTAGTCCACTCAGGTGCCCCGCCACAATTCCAGCTATGTGCTTTGGACTCCTGGTTCTCATCAAGTTATGGGACACATAAGGCTTCAAATATGTATTTTTTATGGCAGAACTTAGAGCATTGTCTTGCAAAACAATCAAATTTACTTTCTTTCACTATCCAAAGTCTGCACAGTATAATTCTATATAATAATATGTTATTAATTTGTAGACATTTAGACCAAAATTAACTTACATAACAAATGGATAATATCTTCTGACTTAGTTCTGGAGAGCAGAAACATCACAGTGTACATCCCAGGAAAGAAGTTTGGAGAGGATACTGATCAACAGATGACTTTTCCAGTTCAGTGCAGTTTTTGGTCTTTTGTTGATATGGATTCATCTTCAAGGAGAAATGCACAGAAAATCAACACTCTAATTGGTCAGATGGTAAGGTATATGTATATTTTATTGTTAGAATGTTGTTCAAGGAATTAAGTCACAAATTTAATACATCTCAATATTTTTGTTATTAACCTGTTTCTATACTTTATTGAGTACCAGAACTACCTGATGACTCAGTTGTTTACAAATTGTAATGTTTTTTAGCCATGTAGTGAGCCAGATATCTGCTCACTGGAAATTACTATTTGAATAGGTAGCTGGTGAGGCTTCAATGAATAATGTATACAAAAATACTCAGTAAAGAGGCTTTAAAAAATCAATCACCAAAAAGTTCCCAGATTATTAAAAAATTACCTTAAATTATAATTAATATGATAAATAACTAATAATAACATATAACAATTACTTTGTAATTAATTATTTCCAAATTGTGAAAATTACAAAGTTTAATGTTTGCCTGTTACTTTTTGGTTTGATGTAGGATTGCAGTTTGATTCCAGCTAACCTTGTGGAGGCATTTGGTTTATTGATTAACTGTAATGAGTCATCTCCCTGCCACCCATTTCTTTCTACTGTGCAACATACTTTGAAGAAAGCCATTAATCCTGAAGGGCTGCTTTATGCGGCTTCTAGACAGTTCACAACTGAAGATTTTGAAAAGGTAAAGATAGATAAAACGGTTACCCAGAATGCCTGTGCTAATGTTTCTCAAATTATATAGAAGTCCTTTTGAGTGCTGGATTTTCTTTATTTAGAATTATTTTATTCCAACTTGGTTCCAGCTTTTAAACATTTTAAGGACATTGCATAGAAGTTACTTAGAGTTAGGCTGGTGTGGTGGCTCATGCCTATAATCCCAGCATTTTGAGAGGCCAAGGCGGGCAGATCGCTTGAGGCCAGGAGTTCGAGACCAGCCTGGCCAACACAGTGAAAACCCTATCTCTACCAAAAAATACAGAAATTAGCTGGGCGTGATGGTGGCTCCTGTAACCCCAGCTACTCGGGAGGCTGAGGTAGAATCGGTTGAACCCAGGAGGTGGAGGTTCCAGTGAGCCGAGATCGCACCACTGCACTCCTGCCTGAGTGATAGAGTAAGACCCTGTCTCAAAA